TTTCTATTCCAAAAAATATATTGGCCAAGTTCATATCGAAAACACAAAATTATTTAATATTGTTTAAATTAATAAAATCAATTACTATTTTTAACTATTTGCATAAGATTCTTGCAAATTTTCTACAAGTGCAATAATAATAAGTTTGTTAACCCCACCATCTTTGTATTTTTCTTTACATATTCCATCTGTCATAACTAAATTTTTTTATTTTTGCTTTAGATATCTCGCAACGATCTAAGATATTTAAACAAATTTTCAAAAATCTACCTCCTCCATCAATGCTAACTTTTAAAATGTACTCATATAAACAATTTCTTTTTTTGACAACATTTTCCACCAATCCTAGAATAGTTTTGCAATAAGCCATCACCTTTTCACCCTCATCAAATTTAACAGATCTTACGTCAAAGTATTTATTTAAAATGGCATCATCTTCAATCAGTTTGTTTCTTGTATTTTTTTCAAATGATTTGCGACCTTTCCAACTTCTAAAAATACTTAAAACTTTAGCACCATGTGTGTTATTGAGACCACATGCATTTTTTAATTTGTTCACTTCATTTGTAGGTATCGGTGAATCAGTAAACAATACTTTGGAAGAAGTTTTTAGTCTTTGTATACTAATTGAAGTTCTGCATGTTGCAACCTTAATTGCAACTTTGTTTTTCAAACTTTTGTTTAAGTGTTTTGGAACATTGCAACTCGGCACCTCTATCGTCTAAATAAAAATCTACATTATAAAATTTGTTATTACTTTGGAATTATTATTATAATTTAGTTTTAATATTTTTTTACATTCATCTAGTTGCTTCATTAGGTTTTCTCTTCTCTTTGTAACACAACAGGTGTGGGCTAATCCTGGTCCAATAACATTTAAACATCTTTTACAAACTTTAACTGGTTCAGGAGAGGGTTAAACTTTCATGTTGAGTTTTGGTCTTCCTCTTTTTTCTCTATTTGATCCACGTGTTAAATTACTACTAGCAGTAAGGTAAATATTAGCAGTAAGGTAAATATTGGCAAAACTGTTGGTTTCTAGAAAGAATAGTTTCTTTGATTTTAGAGAAATCATATGGTTTACATAAAACTATATTGGTGTTACTTTTTCCATTTTTACTAAATTAGTTCGACATCTTCAATAAATTCCATTTGGAAAACGGTTATCATTTAAATTAATATTGTTAATGAAATATTTTTGAATTCTCAATAAAACTTCCTTCTTGTACTTTACTTAAATTTTTTTCTTTTTGAAAGCAAATTAAACAAACTTTACTCCTACTTTGCCTGTGAAAATAGCATTTTAAAAGTGAAATAATAATTACAATTTAAATTTTCAAAGCACAACTAATGATATTACAAACGCAACAAAACACGAATTACAATAATGCATAAAAATCAAAACTCATTAAAACTAGAAGTCGTTTTTAATTTACCAATTGCAAATACTTTAGCAATAAAGAATGATTTTGAGGGTTATTAAAATTGACATGATACAAATTAAAACAGTAGTTTGTAAAAGTAAAAAGTAACATTTTATAAACTCGCTTTGACAAAACTTACAGAAGAATATTTAAAAAACTCTATATATAATTTATTGTGTAAAATATAAAACAGTTATTATTAACTTGTTCATATCATTAAATATCATTAAAAACTTTATTAACTTGTTCATATCATGAAATATCATCAAAAATCACAACAACAAACTAAAATCTTCTTTTTATTTGTGTCCCAGTGATCAGACCTAATTATATTAAAACTCTACGAACACGCCCCTAACGTAACACTCTTAAAACGTTTATGAATTTTTTTTTCTTTTCATATTTAATAGAATCAAAATTTATTGATAAATTTTAAATATCATTCCAAAAAAATATGCTGTTTAAAAATTGTGACCTTTTAAAGTTATTTTTAGGAGTTAATTGGGAAATAAAAAACTAAAAACAGTAATAACTTTTTAACGAGAAGAGATTTTTGTATGAAATTTTAAATCTGTCGATTAATTTTAACCTAGTTACATAAAGTATGAAAAAAAAAAAATTTTCTATTGAAACCATACATGGGACACAAGGACCCAAATTTTAGATTTAATATTGTTTCCAGTCTGCGATCGTCACAGCTTTTGCTAAAACATTCTTATTTTCCATCAGTATGATTATTACAAAATTTTATGAAAGCACCATTTCTGGAAGTTATCTATCACTAAAAATTATGGACCAGCTTGTTTAACCCCCTTTAATTTTTTAAGATATCGACAGAATATTTTCGAAATCTAGGTCATAACAGAACAAGGTACGGTGGTTTTGAAAATGTAATCCATTTCTGGTGTACTTTTTTTTTTCATAAGAAATATTTCTATTAGGGTGTGATTGCCCAATTTTCAACAATAAGATGAATTACTATAGATAATGAACATAGCGATTGCTCTGTTAAGAGAATCCAACAAAAGTGCAGACTATTTTAATGGGGAAAGTAAAAACAACCAAATATTTTATATTTGAACACTAGAATTAATGACTTTTAAATTTTAATTAGTTTTCTTGCTTTCCTGTGCATTAATAAAAACAGTAAAGTTTAGCAAAAATATTTCAAAAACAAATTTTAAAATTGTCCTTATTTAAAGTGCAAATACTATAGCATTTCCTTAATATACTGACTGAAAAAAGCTATGAATAAATTGTGTATCAAAAAATGTTTTTTTTTGTTGTTGTTATATTCTTATCTGCTTTCTTTCTCAACTTGTATTAATTTTAGCAGTGGAAAATAATAAACGCCCTAAAAAAAAGAAAACAAAACAGTAAAATATTTAGTATATTCTTTTTAACAAAAATTTTCTTTTTTTAGTTTTCATTTTATTTTTAGTTTTTTTGTTTAGATATTCTATTTTGTATAGTATTCTTTTTCTTTCTTCAAATACTGCTGTTTTATTCTTTGTAGTTTCTTATATGTTTATTTTGCCGCAAATTTTTAAATTACTTACTATATAAAGGTTGGGTTAAGTAAAACTGACACTTTTTATCTTGAATTAAAAAAGATTGGAATGAGCTACAAAATTGATTTTTTTTTTTTTTTTTTATTGAATACTTATAAAGTCTAGAACAAAAAAAATAAAGAAAAGAATTAAATTTCTTCAGTACGATAAAATTTTCTAACTTTTCTCTTGATGGGAGTCATTAGATTTTGCACTAGGTGAGATTCATACTCTGTGGTGGTTTTATCCCACTTCTTCTTATAGTCAGTACTTGATTTTACTTGCCTAAACTTCTTACATAATTTAGCTTTAATAATCGCCCAATATTGCTCAATTGGACGAAGTTCAGGACAATTTGCAGGATTGTGTGTTCTAGCCATGAAATCGATACTATTGGCATTGTAGAAGTTTAATATGGATTTGGAGTAATGACAAGACGCTAGGTCAGGCCAAAACATTGCATTACTATCATGGGCGTTCCACAGTGGCAATAAGTGCTTTTTAAGGCACTCTTTTTGATAGATTTCACTATTTATTGTGGAGTTAGTGATGAAACTTTGTGTTTTTAATCTACATTGACATATGGCTTGCCAAACCATAGTTTTTTTGGGTAATTTTTTAATTTTTATTGCTTTAAATTCAGCCTTTAGCTTTTTCCTGGAGACTCCCATATAAAAATGATGTCCTGGAATCGTTTTGAAATTTAATTCCACCCATAACTATACTTCTTTTTTTTTCTACACAACAATTTGTATAATTTTCCTTTTGTCACTAAATTTTCTTCAGCATTGCGATCCAGGGCTTTATACATCTTGAAGGACTAGATTTTATGCTTTTTCTTGATAGTCCAAACCATGTCTAGTAGTTTTGCATTTTAGTGCCTAACCTACCACAGAAATGTTAGGATTTGCCCTTATTTTCGTCAAAACATTCGTCTTCAGTTTTTTGTTAATGTTCAAGTTGTTGCCGCTTCTAGGTTTTTTATTTATTGTATTAAATAAAAAACCTAGAAGTTTCAAATACTTATTTAAAGTTCTTATCTTAGTGCTTTTAGAACATCCAACAGTTTTTACAATCGATTTCTATTTGAGCGTGCAAAATTGCATCATGCACTTGTTGTTGTTTCGTTTCCATTTTGAATAACAATAACATTTTTCTAAAAAAATATTTTAACTGAAATACTAATTCGTAGATAATTGTTTTTCTGTATGATAATGTTCTGTATGATTTTTTTAGCGTCCTATTTATAAGAAATAAAAAGTGTCAATTTTAAATAAAAAGTTGTCTAATAAAATTACTTTAAATGTGGACGAACAAGACGTGCAATAGAACACGCTTCCTGGGAAGGCTTGATACCCTGTTCTCAATTCTAAGTAATAAATATGAGTTATTTTGATTTATCGAATATATCTTTTTACTTTTTTTTTTTTTTTTTCTTGTTTAAATTTTTTTTTTTTTTTAATTTTATGTTTATCCAGGTTTTTGTGTAAATCTCAAGGTTTTTTTAAATGAATCTCAAGGTTTTAAAAAAAAGGTTGGATGGTCTGCTTGCATAGATAGCTAATAGCACGCTTATTATATTTTCCCCCTCGCTAGCATAGAGACTAATTTAAAAAAAAAAAGTGAAAATAAGACTGAATTTTCTTTCTGCTGCTGTTGCAAACTTAATTTATAGTAAAGCATCAAATGATATTTTTAAATGTCAATTATAAGATTGATTTTTGATCTTTTTGGCATGCATGACATAAACAATTTTTTTTCTTTTTTTTCTGCTTACACAACTCACTCTCAACTCTTAATTTTTGAAACACGAACCAAGGCCATTGATAAACAAAGTTGCTGCGCTGAGAAACAAGTTGATTGTGATATGACCAGGGACATGGTGGGGATCAAACTGGAATTTCTTGCTTACAAAGCAAGCGTTCTGCAACTACACTTCTACTGCATTATTATTACACCACTAATGCACTATAACTACAAATTTTCACAGTTTAGACTAATAATATTATTTTAAAAAATTATTTACTTCATTTGAATTTTCATCACCACTTTGCACTATCTGCTCTCCAATTTCGCTCTCTGACCTAGTAAAATAGATAAAGTAAGAATCAACACAACATGAAATAAAAAGAAAAGATTTTCAAAATATAGTAAAAACTACCTTGAATCTGATTCATCTAACAACAAGCTTTTATTTTTGCGCTCAGAACTGTATCTATGAGAGCGTTCTACTGGCTTCATTTTTTGTCTTTATTCATAGTTCATAAGTATGAACCTTGCAAAATTTTATATCATATGATGTATGATAATATACCTTGCTCAATATTTTATCTAAACTTTTTATAAAAATATGTAAATTATCAATAATATTAATGATTTAGTTAACATTGTAGTAGGTAAAATAGAATAAAAAATACAAGTCTAGTTAACTAAGTATATATTAATATTTAATTAAATTACTACTAATTTTAAACCAATCTAGATAAAAACAAAAAAAAAGATTTATAAAAAAATTTTAATAAAATATTTTTATTTGAAAAGTATTACTGACATTTTATAAAGTATTTTTTTTATCTTTCATAATATTTCAGTTAAAAAATGAAGACAGATATGATTTTAATTTTAATCAGGTTTTAAATATTTTTAAATTTTAGAGTGCTTTGTAAATAAACTTTAAAGTTAAAAAATCTATTCAAAAAAATAACAATTCTGAAATCCAAATTGTTATTTTTTTGAATAGATATTTTTCTGTACCATGATTTAAAGAGTTCTGATTAAAGATTCTATAAAATCTTCCTTTTAAGGTGATCTGATAAAAAAGCTAAACCGCAAAATAATTTGAAAATTTTTAAAGTTATTTTCAAAATTATTCAAATAAAAAATAGGGCTCAAGCTTAAGAGTAACTTATATAATCATGGTCATTAATGGCACAAGGAAGTGAATTACATGATAATCTTATAGGATAGGTGGTGAATTTCAAAGGAAGGTTATCTTTGTTATGGAAAGAGCCAAGCAGGTAACCATCTCCGGTTTTCGTGCCATTATAAAGACTTGTTGTGCCAGCAACAATCATTAAAATTGATCTCCATAGGTTGAACTCCTCTAACACATTCTTGAAATTATTTTGAGCACAGTCAACTTTATTTCTTTTGCTTCAATTTGCGGGATCACTACCTGATATTTCCTATTTAATATTTTATCTATTAAACTGGCAAAGATGTATTTATAATAAATTGTTTTCAGTTTAGGATGCTGAATGCAGGATCTTCTTGACTCAATGCATAGGTTTTGCTTGTGACTCTATTTTTATGACTTGGCAACTCATTCTATTATCTCCTGATGAGAGTACAGCTCTAAACTCAGTTTTATGGTTCTGAGGCCTGCTGGTAGTTGGATTTCCAAACTCTGTGGTAGCTCTAAAAGAGGCTGATTCCATCAACAGCTGTAAAGTATCAGAGTACTAACAGTACCATGTTGCACATGGATGGTGTCCTTGTTCTTACTTTTGGTGTGCATTGTCGAGGCCATATTTGGAGCCGTTTGTTACAGCTTAGAGTTTATTAATAGTATTGAGGCATTTGCTTGGACTATTAAATAGTGTGTTGAGTACTATCTGTGCTTTGAGTCACATTCTTTAACAAATCTTATGAGTAAAAAAGTACCAAAAACTATAGGACAAAAAAACCCTTGTCTTCACCAAGTTTTCTAAATCAATCAAGACTTGTCTTGTTTCTGATCCTAGTCTGGGCTCAGTTTCTCCACATTCACCCTTAGGTGCTTTTGATCATGGCCTGATCAGAAGCACCTAAAGATGAATAAGGAACTAATTGTCTCTTGATTTACTGGGACTCTTTTTGTGATTTTCTTCATGATAGCCCTTGGGTAGAAATCTTTCATATTTTTTTTCTATTTATGCTTAGTACAAATGTTAGTATGTAATTTCTTAAATTCAGCTTGACATCTTTTATTCCCTCTTGATGATTCCAAGTCAAGTTTCACTCTACCCCATGGTTTTTCACTAATTGTGCTGCTATAATTTTTAATTGTAACCATAACTTCCATATCTATCATCAATATCATAAATCATCATCATCACCAATCATCAAAATCAATCATCATCAATCATCAAAATCAATCATCACCAATATCATCAAAACAATTCTCTAGAAAACAAATATCTGTTTACTATTGATAGGAACCATTGTAAAAAGGCTTTATCTAACGCCAAAGCCCACTATTCTCAGGTCACAAAATCTTGTATTTCATTTCAAAAATTAAGCTACAAAGACTTCTGGAAAATTTTTAACAGTATCTATATTAAGGGCAAATCTGTAACTCTCTCTTACATTTTACCTGTAAATATGCTTCACCTAAAGTAAAAGCTAAAGTTTGCTAAGTACCTTTCAATCTCATCTCTAGATTCCACTAATCACATCCTGCCTGATATAGCCAACAACCAGGTTAATATATTATTTGAAATTTGTATCACTCCAGCTTCTGTATCTGAAGTGAGTTCCTGCTTAGACTCTTCTACAGATTGACTAACATCTTGACTAACAGAGCAAAATTGACTAACTAACATCCCATTAGTCTTCCTAATATCATTAGCAAGGCTTTTGAGTCTTTAATTAACAAAATTTAATCTCTTATCTGGTAACTAATAACCTACTTTCTGATCAATAAAGGATTTGGATCTTCTCATTCTACTGCTGATTTGTTAATGGTAATAAACTACATTAATGATCTATTTATTTTAAAAATGCTCATTAATGTCTGCTAATAACAAAGATAATAACAGTCTATGTTTTACTTCTTAAGATAAAATATAATCACCTAAGTAGCTTTACCTTGGTAGCTTTTTTGAAGATTACCTTGTACCATCCCATGGTGGGATTGAGATTACCTTACTAGAAAACTGATGACATACTTATGCTGCTTAGTGAGACAACAGCTTTAAGCATGTAACAAACTATTTTGCAGTATTTGTTGGGTTATGCTTTTTGTGGTCATTGATTCTGGTTATCTCATAAATTTTTATGTTGTTGTTGATAGAACCTGTGCTACTTTCAAGACACTCAGATGGCACTCAGCTAGTAAGTGTGACCAGCTTTAGTGGCAGTATTTTGCAACTTAGGCTAGTTTTTGGTATAGTGTCTCCAAGGCTTCCCTAATCTGTTTTTGATATTTATTAGAGGTTTACACCAGATTTATTAGAGTACAACACCTTTAGTATATTTTTGTATATGTCAGTTTTAAGACTTCATATATATTATTTTATGACTATATAGAGAGATTATTATTAACAGTATATAATATGTTAAAAAAATCTACATAATATTTTAAAGTCATTTGTGCATAACATTTTAAATGAATAAATACATATGTTTACCTACAGCTACTGTGTTTTGCCAGAATAGTGGATAAAACACTTGCTCAGCTGTGCAACAATTATATTAGTAAAAAAAATTTAATATTAATGTTCAAGAGATTTTAATTAACATTCAAGAGTTTTCTGGTGGAATAGTTCACCATTCATCATTAAATAAGATTTTAGTTTTTTCTTATAAATAACTTTTTTTTCGCCACGGATGTTATTTGGAAGTGTATTCCAAAGTTTAGGACCATAGTGGTATAATGCTCGATTACCAAAACAATTACTGCACTTTGTTTACTTTAATCTTAGTGTTCTTTCTGACATTAAGTAGTGAATTAAATTGGATAATGACGTTGGTGCTTCCAGTATAATAGATTTATGCATTATTAAAAGGACCTTGAAATATATTCTTTCTCTAATTTTCAGCCAATGCAATTTGTTAAATTCCTGGTCGTTTACATGATTTTCTATTCTAGTTTTAAATACCAGTCTTGCTGCACAATTTTGAACAGACTGCAGTTTTTTTAATAGTGACTTTTCAGTAGAAGTAGAGGGAGTTGCAATAATCTAGCTGTACGAATATTAGTGAATATACTATAGTACACAAACCTTTGTGCAATATTTTTATGATATTCAAGACATTTATATATATCTAGGACTAATGCATTATATCGAAATGAAGGAAGAAATGCTTTTAGAGTTTGATGATCATCTGAGTATCCAAAAAGTTTTGACATTGATTATGTTCAGATATTTGTACAGTGGTCTTGTATGGATATTAAAGAGTTTTGGACCCAGGACTGTACCTTGTAGTGCTCCATATTTTACATTTTGGTTCGTAGAATATGAGTTACCAATTTTAACTTTTTGAGTACAATTAACTAAAAATGATTCAAACCATTTGTAAGCTGAGTCAATTATACCTATTTCACTGGTTAACAGTCCAAGTAGTTTTTACTGATCAATAGTGTCGAAGGCAGCACTTAGATCAAGTAACATTAGTACTGAAGATAATGTTTATCAAAGAGTTCAAATATATCATTGGTAAGCTTAAGTAAAAGTGTTTCAGTTGAGTGATGTTTTTTGTATCCATATTGATGTTTTATATGAAAATTGATTGTTGTCATGTGGGAATCAAGACGATTGGAAACTACTCTTTCTATTAGCATGCTAATGAATACTAAATTAGAAACTAGTCTACAGTTTTTGAAGTCTTCAGTGTCTGTGGCAGAGTCTAATTTCTTTATTATTGGAAGTAATGTAGCACTTTTTAGACAATCCATGCTGCTTGATTCTAGAAATAAGTTCACTGTTTCAACCCATATATGTATAAATGTTTGTAAATTGTTCTGTTAATAAATTATGCTGGAATCAGATCATCAGAAGAACATTTTATTCCAAATGACACGGTGTTTAGTAAATTTGTGTAAATTTCTTCGTATGTCATTGGATCAAAATTTCTTAAAAACTGCCCATACTAATCTGTTGTGCTTTTCTTTGTCTGGGATATTTGAAGACCAGACATGAGTTTTCTGATTTTTTCAGTAAAATAATTATTTAAGTTGTTATCTAGTGCTTCATCTGATTTGGTTGTTGGTAGTACATATTGTTGAGCTTTATCTAGTAGCTTGTTTACAAATGAGAATAGATTTTTACTTGTAGTGTTTTTATGTAATAGGTTAGAGAAATATGTTCTTTTTTTTATATACGCAATTATTGTTGTTTTTTTCCTGAAGAATCTATATTCTCTTTTGTCACTCTCATTTTTTGTTCTCCTAAAAAAATTTTCTGCTTTTCTTCGTTTTTGCCTAAGTTGCATATATTCTTAGTCAAACCAAGAAGCTGTTTTGACTATTTTTATTTTTTTTATTTTTAAAGGGGCATGTTTCTGCACAATCTCTTTCATTATTTGGTTATTTATGGTTATTTTGTCTTTTATATTTTCAGCTGATGATATTTCTGGTTTATTTCTTAATATTTCATTGTTAAAGGACTGTATGTCTACTGTTTTTAAATCCCTGTATGTGATAGTTTAGTATAATTTTTTTTTCTATTTTTTGTTCTACTTTAAAATTAATGAGAAAATGATCACTCAAATCTAAGTCTGTTACAGCGAGCATAACTACTGATATCTCATCTGACTTGTTAATTACTACATCTAGTATGTGTCCCATTTTATGAGTTAATTCTTTAATGTTATGCTAGATTTAGTACATTTAGCCTTTCTGCTTTTTCTAAACAGTTCTTTAGTATCTAAGTAAATGTTTATATCACCCGCTATAATGTATTTGCAACCTGTTGATACTATTGTTTCAAGTAAATCCATGAACTCATCCAAAAATGTTATGTGAGAGACAAATAATAGTCTATAAATGCAAATAAAAAATTAGTGATTTTTTGGCTACCATAATTTTAACACACACACATGTTTAAAGGAGTGAAACTGTTTATTTGGTAGTTGTTTGTGCTTAATTGATTGTTTTAACATAATTCTTACCCCTCCATCTTTTTCTTTATCTCTTTCTTTTCTTATTTTGTGCTGAAAAACATATCCATAATTTTTTATCCTTGCTGTTGTATTATTATTTTCAGAAGTCATCCATGTTTCAGTAATAATATGTCTGGATTCCAATCAAGTATATACTCCATTACATCTGTAAGTTTATTAGTAAGAGAGCGAAAATTCCATAGTGAGCATAGTATATAATTTATGTAGGTTCTATCATCCTTTTGAACTTGGCATTTAAACGATTAATTTGAAGTGTTTCTTTCAGAGTATTTTTTTTCTCTCTCAAGTGAAGGACATTTAATATCAAACGCATAGTGAAAATTATAATTTTAAACACAGTTTAAATCTAAACACAGTTAACACGTTTTTTATTCATTGAAGAGCACTGATCAGTTCGATGTTTTTTGTTACATTTAGCACATACCGATTCTTGTTTCTTGCATTCCTTTGCAATATGTCTAGCTTAAACAGTTAAAACAACGCATTACATTGAGTTTGTCATATATCCTGCAAGAAGTTAATCCAAGTGTTACTTTGTTTTTATAACATTGAAAACCTTCCCATAATATTTTAATTACTTTAGCAAACACTTGAAAGATTGGTGATTTATTTTTTATTGGTTTGATTATTTTAAAATGATCTTTGATGTTGTTCACCTTGCTAAATTCTTGGATAAAACTGTTTTGTGTGTGAAGCATATTAACAACTTTATTTTCATTATATTCCTAGGTAAACCACTGATAATAATTTTTTGCATGTTTAATTGATATGATAATACTTTTATTTGATTCTTCGTGTCTTCAAGAGAATTCAATAATTGGTCTTTAGATTCTTCAGAGTTACATACTAGGACAAGATTACCTGATTTATTATGATTTCCGATTTATATCACTTGAGCATTTTTTTAACAGTTGTTTTAATTCATTGAGTTCAGTTTTGATTTCTGTAACATTACATTCTAGACTTTTAGCCTCAATGCTTTTGATTTAGATACACTTATTTTGAGGTTGGAGAAAATAAGTGTATCTAAATCAGAAGCAATTCTGATTTAGATACACTTATTAAAAATTAAAAAGAAGAAAATTTGAAACTGTGGTTTTGCTAGCTACTTAATCTTCTTTTGAAATAGATGGGCAACATAAAACCTTGATTTGCATGCGAAACATTGAACATTTTCTGTTACTAATGTTTTATTTTGGCAGGCAGAACAATCAACATTATTGTCTAATTTACTGGTAATCGACATTCTTTGGACTTTCTTGATGTGTCTTTTAAGAGAGTAAAACACTTTTTAAAAGGAGAGCTACCGCCTTTTTACAGTGAATTATCTCAGGGTCGAGATATATTATACGTCATTACTACCTTATTACACAGGGACTTATTACACAGGGACTAAAAAGTTTCAGTATATATATTTTTCCTTATTACTTTAATTGAAAAAAATTTTTTTATCAAAGTGGATCCATTTGTACTACAAGAAGAGATTTTTGAGGAAAAAATTCAAAAAGATATCCCTCTATTTAATATAGGACTTGATAAATTTCAGAGAGAAATCAACCTACTTTTGATAAATGTTAATTGATAGGTTCATTTTATTTTATTAGGGTTTACAATTTATTATCTAATCTTAAATCTATATAAT